TCGCTCGCTGGCTGGCTGACTGATCGGGGATGAACAAGAAAGAAGATCAACTAGATCACTCGGAGGAAATTGAGCAGGAACTCGTTGCGGTGCTATCACAGAACGCCAGGGATTCGTGGGAAGGCGGTGGTACGGGGGTTGAGATTTCACGAGCTGGGCTGACTGGCGCCATCGCTCTGCGCCCCATATTTCTGCGGGTGGTTGTATTCTCCTAATCTAAAATAGAATTTCCTAGATCCTGTGTCTGTCTCTCTCTCTCTCTCTATCTATCTCTCTTTCCCTTTCCCCCACTCTTGTGCACTCTAACTGTTTCTCTTTTTCCATATCTGTGTGTGTGTCTCTCCCTCTCTCTGTCTCTGTCTCTCTCTCTGTCTCTCTCTCTCTATCTCTCTCTTTCTCTCTCTCTCTCTATCTCTCTAGCATTATCTACTCCAAGCACACCACACCAAGCCTGTTCTCCTACTATTCAATCGAATCAGCATCTGATGTGATATACAAAGACTACCATTGACGGGCATGATCAAGCATTATTTGATCAAACTCATTATGACTTGATTATTACATTTCCCTTCTTCATACTATCAAACAAAATCAGCAACGTGGTGGCGTTACGTGGAATAACCTCTAATTTTATCAAGAATACTTTAATGGATTTACTACACGTTATCTACCTTGTTATTCAGAGTTTTTTATTCTCTCAGCGAATGCAAGTTTTGATTTAAACAGTCATTTAGATATTTCTTTCAAAATAAGTAGTTTACTCTCAAAGGAATTTCATCTTTTTTTTGCGAGGGTGATGGGGCAGGGGTCGTAAAATATAGGTCATGAATTTCAACTCTCATTCTAATTCTAAATTCTTATCTCTTCTTTCACAACAGAAAGTGATGATTTGTGAAGTGAGTTCAATCATATCAACTTCTAATTTTTGTTTAATAGCAAGAGAGATTCTTCTCCCCCCCCCCCATTTCCTACTTGCCCCTTCTCCAATATACCCCCTCCCCCCCCCCCCCCCCCCATGCTAACTTTGCTTTCAAACTATTACTCTCAGAGAGACATAAGGCATTGTGTTATGATTGCAATACAGGATGATCCTTTCCTAATCCACAAGAAAGACATCGTCAAACCAAGGTATTAAACATGAACCACAATGACAATGCTTGACTACCCGATGTCTCTTAAGCGCCTGCACAATGACAAAAATACTTCCTGATTAGTTGCTACCGATTCTATTTTTCACAATATATCCCAAAAGTCTTAATTAGACAAAGGAATATTTTTGAAGAGAGAAAACAAGATTGTAACTACTTTACTAGGATCGATGTTCGCTTATCTCAATTTTATTTTTATTTTCTTAGTAAAAATTCTTCTAAATTTAGCTACGTTATGTCGTTGATATCATAAGCAGAGATAAAAGCATTGAGAGCTCATTTTATCATGTTCTATGATAAATTTCTTCAGAATAGTCTGGGTCGTATTTTGATGACATTTACCAGGGAAATTTCAAGCTCAAAGGCAATGGTGAATTTCTTCTTAAAAATCATTAGAAATGATTCGTTGTGATAAGGAAGAAGGAGGAGGCTGAAAATGTGAGTGAGAAAAAAACACATACAGCTGATGTATGTATTCTGTCATCACCAGCTGAAAATAAGATCCTAAAACACTGAACCTGCCTCTAAAGCATATCCCTTCAATCTGATGAACTACATACCTTAATAACTTTATTCTGGAAAGACAGACTAGAGATAAGCACGCTTGCATGTGACTAGAATTACACAAAGGCAAAGAAGGAAAGACAAACTGTTTAATACGACGGAGGAAGTTCAATTATTATTTCTCTGAAGCAATCTTACCTCAAAGGTCGTCTAGACTAGCCTAGATGCCCCCTCCCCGGCCCCTCCCCCCTATTATCACAAATTCTCAGCATTCCATGATTATTGCGTAAAGTAGCAGCAATCCGCCCACCCTGTTAAGACGGGGGAACTAAGGAAGGCTGAGAGAGAGAATAATGTTTCAAAAGGGTTAAGCTCTTTGATACTATCAATCCACAACATAAACCATCATCTGTTTCCTCTGCCTAACCCCCCTCCTACTGTAAGCTACGTTAAAGCTAGGTTTAGTCTTCCACTAGAAGACACTCTTGTGTCTCTCGCTTCCTATATTTCTTTCTATATTCCCTCCCCCCCCCCCCCCTGTGTGTGTGTGTGTGTGTGTGTGTGTGTCTCTCTCTCTCTCTCTCTCTCTCTCTCTTTCTCTCTTCTCTCCTCTCATTCCCTCTATCTCTTTCCCTTCCCCTCTATCTCTCTTCCTCTCTTTCTGTCTGTCTCCCTGCATGTGCCTCGTTCTCTATCTCTATCTAAGTATCTATCTTTCTGTCTGTCCGTTTGTGTATCTATCTATCTATCAATCTATCTCTATCTCTCACTCTTTCTTCCTCTCTCTCTCTCTCTCTCTCTCTCTCTCTCTCTCTCTCTCTCTCTCTCTATATATATATATATATATATATATGTTACATAGAGAAGAGTGCCACCAGTGATTCACTCATGTAATTCTCACACAATTATTACCCTTTGATTATTATTTGTTCTTCAATCACTGGCACTTTACATCTTACTTCATATTTTCATTTGATAGAAAACAAAGTTAACAAAAGTCTATTTGCCTTATCTTGCTTTGCTTCTCTTTACAAAACAGCAGATTTTTGCTGTTGCTTTTCTAATCATGCATCATTGCTTTAATGCATATTGTCTAGATGATAAGAAAATGAATTACAAAAAGGACAAGATATATGTCTGTTTGTTAGTCTCCTTCAATTCTTCTTCCTCTGTACTTCTGTCCTTCTTTTCTATATTTATCAATATCAGAACATGCAGACCACAAACAATTGTCTTTTGCCCATTTTTTTCATCAAATTTCTTGTTTACATCGTATAAAAAAAGAATTAATGACCACTCAACACGGAAAATATCAACAAAAGTTCCCAAACAAATATCTCTCTTCCCCCCTCTCTCCCTCTCTGATGTTAATCCGCATGTTAAAGACAACACCATTAAATAGTCATAATTCTATTTGCACTGACGATCCGTTTGGTGGGACGAGATAAGAGGGCGCTGAAATAATACAGACTAGTTCCCTCTCCCTGGGCAACAAGTGTTGATGGGTTCGCCCTCTCTACCCTGCCTAACTTTCCACTCCATTTTTCCCCCAAAAAAAATACTACGACCTGTGAAAAAGCAGGTCTGATGTAATTTCATTTATTACTGTATGACATAAAAATTGAAAGTCATATATTCCTCACAGAGTATCACATTTCAAATGCTTAGTGTCAGAGGGGATGACACGTATGGTTCGTGACTAAAGTGTTGAGAACAGTTTGCTCGCTTTCACTTCTCTCTACCGGTACGTCTTCGTTCATCAACATAACTGATAAGAAAAAATTGTTCGATGACATGACTAAAACAGAGTCTCTGGAAACGATCTGTGTAAGTATCTACTAACTTTACAGACAAATTATTTCTTTTGTTTTCACTTTCATTGTTAAGTTCTACCAAAAGACATATTTTTGAAATGTCCTTTATTGCACTTGCTAGTTTCTCTTTATGAAATCCTACAGGGGATATTAATGAAGTCATAAGGGATGAAATCTTATGTTATATTGCAAGGATTTATGTTATATGGCAAGGATGTGACTTTGTTTTGGAAAATAATATGTAATTTGATATTTAATCTATTCCAAAAGAAATACAAATAGACCAGAAAATAATAGTTGTAGGTAAGGATATTGGAAACAAGAAATATTCACTTCTGAATATTATTTTAAATTATGCGCAATATGCAATTTATAAATGTTACGTTAAGAAGATTGTTAATGGTTCTGTTTACTACCCACATACTCTGTTTTTGGAATTCAAGTCGTTGCTAAGATTATTTTTAAGATATGAATGTGTTAGCAAAGAAAATAATACTAAGCTGGAAGAATTGTTGAATGTACTATAATTTTTAGCCTATATTATGTTTCACTCAAGAGAAAAAGAATACAAAAATAAGGGATAAAATCTTAAACTTTTCACCTCCTGCATTCAGAGTGGCAATTATTTTTTGTTTAATTAATTGATTTCAAATCAACTGAAGATCACAATCTACCAGACTGGTGTGTGTGTGTGTGTGTCTCTCTCTCTCTCTCTCTATCTCTCTCTCTCTCTCTCTCTCTCTCCTGGGTGGAGAGAGGTTCATGAAGAAAGATCCCTTGGATCTGTGACATGACTGACCTGACAGTAAACCACAGCGATGTCAAACTCTCCGTCAAACTCTACAGACTACGCAGCAGCAAAGGGCATTGCCCCATTGACCTAGTCCATGTACACCCCCAAATAGCCCTCAATTGTTGCCAAATTGAAATAACCCTCCCCCCCCCCCCCCCTCCCCCATTCCAACATTTTTGTTGGTCGCTCTCGATCATGTAGATTTTGTTTTCAATCCCACTTTCATCTACACTTAAAAAACCACCAGGGGGGCATTTCACAAAACTTGTCATCAGTGACAAATGACAGTTTTTGTTTTGAGCTACTGAAATCCCTGCTTCTGATTGGTTATCTGCAGATTTGTCACTGATTTTTGTCATTTGTCATTGACAAATGGCTTTGTGAAACGGGTCCCAGTTCTCCTTCATCCCAAGCCATTATAATGAAGTGAAAGGCTAGTTTGAAAGCGGTTCTTATAATGAGGTGTTTTATACATGGGTGGATACGCCGCCGGACTGTTGATCACAAGGTCCGTGATTCGAGTCCCGCTGCGGCACTGAAGTCCTTTGGCAAGACATTGATCTACATTTGCCACTCTCCACCCAGTTGTTAAATGGGTACCTGTAGAAAGGAATTCCTTCTTAAAATGCTGTGAGCGTCGAAATTGGCAGCCTAGCATAGCCGGGTAAAGTTGGAGCGCCTTGAGGACCTTGCAAGGTCGATACGTGCGCTATATAAGAATCAAATATTATTATTACATACCTGAGGGTCTTGTCAGTTCTACGTGAGTATGAGAGGATGCATTGCTGACTATCTCTGCTTCGTGAGTAGCATACTTCTGGTAGCTGGCTTTCGGTGATAACGACTGACTTCGCTTCAGCGGTTCCGTTATCGTGACTGGGCGTGACCTCACGCAAACCTACAAATGATTTCCCAAATGCAAGGACGTTATTCATATGACCAGAATTCATCTTCTAATACCCTCAATATTTTATGCCATATCAAATACAAGAACAAAAGTCGCATGGAGTGGCCAAGTTCTTAAGCCTTGTTCGATTATGATGAGGCAAAACCGCTATTTTGTTTTTTCATGACGTAAAGTAATATGCTTTAGATTTCTGTATCTTATAACACAGATCCAAGTCAATACACGTAGGACCTTTGTTGCGGTTGTTTTCTGCGGTGGTTTCCTGTGTCTTACCTGAAGGAGCCTTAAACGTCAAGACTTTAAATATATGATAATTTCAAGTTCAGATCAATTACATATTGTCCCCGTCTTATAAACAGTTGCGATTAATTCAAATCAGTCAAAACTTGACAACATCACTCGCAATTCTTTACCAATGAGCTAGAAGTTTGTAAGTTTGGAATGTTGGACGTTTTCCAATCAATCCAGATATATCGCAATATTCTAAAGACAGGGCCTTGGTAATGTGAATAATCACAATTTTTCTGGATAAAGAGAAGATGGAAAGAATTTTCATTCAACCCTGACATTTGTCTGTTTCTCAATCAGTGCTCGTCAATAATGAAACAATATTATTTAAATTTAATTTAAGGGATATTTTATTTCATTTCAAACTACTATCGCATCCGAGGGTATGATCAGGGTCCTGTTTCACAAAACTTGATATCAATAACAAGTTACAAGCTACTGTTATAAGCTACTGAAATCAGGCATCTGATTGGCTGAGAGCAAACTTGATATCAATAACAAGTTACAAGCTACTGTTATAAGCTACTGAAATCAGGCATCTGATTGGCTGAGAGCAAACTTGATATCAATAACAAGTTACAAGCTACTGTTATAAGCTACTAAAATCATGGCATCTGATTGGCTGAGAGCAAACTTGATATCAATAACAAGTTACAAGCTACTGTTATAAGCTACTAAAATCATGGCATCTGATTGGCTGAGAGCAAACTTGATATCAATAACAAGTTACAAGCTACTGTTATAAGCTACTAAAATCATGGCATCTGATTGGCTGAGAGCAAACTTGATATCAATAACAAGTTACAAGCTACTGTTATAAGCTACTGAAATCATTGCATTTGATTGGCTGAGAGCACATTTGTCATACAAGTTTGGCATTTGTTATATTGATCACAAGTTTGATGAAACAGGGCCCTGGGCCTTAAAGACAAACCTGAGTTGGTGGTGGTGTAAGTGGTGAGCCAATGGGAGACCCATCAGACCTATAAGAATCCGATGATGATCCTTTCTGCGACAGATTAAGAGGTTGGTCTGGCGTCATCTCGTGGTAGGCCTGCATACCGGTAGGGCTCCCTCGTGGCATGGTCGGGAAGCCGGTCGGAGGGAAGGAAGCATGTGGTATCGTCAGGAGACCTTTAGGGCTACCTGTCATTGGTGAGACAGCAGGGATGTGCCCTGAGCCGACGGGTGACGTGGCAAGTTTAGCCTGGCCCAGAGGGGTAGTCGGTGAAGGGATCTGTTTGCCATTGGCTTGAGATGCAAGGCCCAACGCAGCGTTGTGACCGTTGGGGCTAGTGACAAGGATTGGGGCAGGTGGTCTGACGTAGTCTGTAGGGTAGACTGGGATGAGACGAACAAAGCCGCCACCAGCTGCAGCTGCTGCTGCTGCGGCTGACGAGGGGGAAGGGGAAGCAGGCTGCTGCTGCTGCTGCTGCTGTAAAGCCTGCAAGAGGAAAACAAATCTTGTTATATGCTCTTGGAAGGATCAAACAATCAAGGGAATGCAATTAAAATTTGATTGCAATTATGATTTGAATGCAATTATGATTTGATTGCAATGACGATTTGAATGCAATTACGATTTGATTGCAATTATGATTTGAATGCAATTATGATTTGATTGCAATTACGATTTGATTGCAATTATGATTTGATTGCAATTATCATTTGATTGCAATTATGATATGATTGCAATTATGATTTGATTGCAATTATGATTTGATTGCAATTATGATTTGATTGTAATTATGATATGATTGCAATTATGATTTGATTGCAATTATGATTTGATTGCAATTATGATTTGAATGCAATTATGATTTGATTGCAATTGTGATTTGATTGCAATTATGATTTAATTGCAATTACGATTTGATAGCAATTGTGATTTGATTGCAATTATGATTTGATTGCAAGGACAATACCATCTGTTGAGAGCCAGAATGACATTAACTCTGTCAAAGTATATAAGTAATGGCCTACTGTTTGAAGGCCTCCGTTGCTGGTCAAAGGCATCTGTGGACTACTTCTAGAAAACTCAAAGATGATGTCTTTAAAGAGTTCTCGATGGAAGCGTAGTTTAGATAAACTAGTAAATAATAGGTAGATACATTGATTTGTGGTAAATCCCTATAATTTGCTCAAGAATGTGGTTTGTATTAGCTCATATGGTATTATAGAGCTATCTCATGATGTTCAAGTATAAGGGAGCAATTTTTGAGACCCTTTGTAATTGCCAAGGAAATGGAACTATATATGTAATCCTTTTTAAATTGTATTGGATTGGAATGGGTATCTACTAAAAGTTAAAATGACAAATGAAAATCAGTAAAAGTCATTTGTTAATACAACCCAATTTTCATTCCATTGTATTACCCTATCATACTGGCTAATCATGATCAGAGGAGATGTTTAGAGCATGAATGGATGTTTCACCAGATTGCGTACCTGCATGAGAATGTTAATTTTGTGGTGTTGTTCCATGAGTTGCTGCTGTTGTCGTTGTAACATGTCTTGCTGCATACGCTGAAGTTCCATCTGTCGTTGTTGTCTCTGGACCTGACTGCGTTGAAGCGCCGCTGCCTCTGCTTGCTGTGCTAAGAGTTGTTCCCTTAAAGTTCCCAACTGGCCTACCAACTGCTCCAGCTTCTGGTCCTTGACTGCCAGAGTGTCTTCCAGGTCCTGTTCCCGACTTGTCCTCCCCACTTCCTCATCCTCAGCGTGGCCATTGTGCGTTGCTTCCTGCTGTAATCGCTCATTCAGGTCATCCCTCATTGCGTCTTCCCTGCTCTGCGTGTCATCACCACATGACCCTGACTTGCTCCCTGACCTCTGCGCGACCTCTTCCAGGGCGCTTTCCCGATGTAGAGCCGTCCGTCCTATCATGAGATGCTGCTTCAGCGTTATCATCTGCTCTGGTTTACGTTCAGCAAGGTCTAAGACACCGACCCTTGGTGACCTTTGGCTCCCCTCATCTTCTTTCTCCTCTCTCTGTCCATCTTCAACAATCTTTAACCTTTGACCTTCCTCGCAGTCCATAGCTTCCTCTGAAGGGTCACAGGGCTCCTTCTTGATGTGGACTGGACTTGCTGCTGTCACAACACTATCTCTCATCTCTGAACCCATCTTTCGTTCAATGTCCTTTTCACTTCGCAGTACTGGCCCTTATGTTTTATCAGTTATTCAGAACATCTGTCAAAGAAAGGAAGGGATAAGAAATGAATCAAACCTTTGAAATCAGAAACATTAGGCTAGTAATATCTGGAGAGGAGACAGAGCAGTTTAAGGGTCGATTTAAAAAAATATAGAGAAAAAAATGAAAAGAAACTTATATATATATATGAAACAATTCCAGAAAGAAACGTCATAGTAAGTGAATTATTTGTATCAAAATCAATTAACTTTGAACTAGTGCATTGACTTGTTTCTCAAACCTAGGACCTCCCTGTTATAAGACCACTGCTCTACCACTGAGCCATCACGCCTCCTTTATAAGAGCTAAAAAATAAGCAACTCATGACAATACGTGCAGCTCCCTCAATGCTATACTAGAGTCCATTCAACTCCTGTCATATCTGACCTGTAGTTGTACGAGAAAGAATGCTAATCCCTTCTGAGCTTTATCACGCACACAAAAGTAAGAACATTTGTCTGGCTTACAGCAAAGCCGAGGAACAACAATAAAACAACAAACCCCCGACAGATTGGAAAGAGCTTTAAAGAGTAAATTATTTCATCCACGTGGATATCCTATGTAACGATCGCCTCCAAGCCAGTTTGTATTGTGTTGTTTAGCTGTCTGCTTGCATTAACTGGGAAGACGGCCAAAAGTTTCGGGGGAATCCAACTCACCGGTAGTCTCAAACTTTTGTTGGATCATGGGAGGAAATCTCAACTAATTATCCTGGAAAATAATATGGGCATAGGCTCTGACAGAAAAATTGGAATGAATTTTGTGATATACTTTATGAGAACTTGTGTGTGTGTGTGAAGATTACCGGTAGCCATATATATCTATACAAATTTGGTTAATCACAAATGTAATTTAAGTCAAAGTTAATCAGAGTGCAAATGAAATTATAATCAAAGTGTATATTGAATTAAAAAGATAATCCAAATTAAGAAAAAAAAATATAACATTTTCTCACATATTTAATAGCCAATTTCTACGAACTTTGGCATTTTTATAAGGGCCTTACACAAGTTTGTTCTATCTAGAGAGTTTGTTTGAACCAATCTGTGGACATTTTGAACGTTTTTAGTCATTTAAGCTTCAAAATTCAGGATAAGGAAATGATTTTAGCATGATTTTTAGAAATTAAATATCAAAGAACAATGACACTTACAAACAAAGATTTGACAAGAAACAAATAAGTCTATTAGATCAGACATCTATGGTTAGGTGTGTCGGCATACTTCAAAAGAACAGCTCATTTAGAAAATATCTTATTTTCGTTTCATTTTTTAACCGATAAAGTTATCATACTCTTTGAAGGCTTCCATGGTGTTGATAAATTTATTATAAAAACTCATTTAATGTCAAAAGAATTGACAATGCATAAAATAAGAAGCAACCCAAACAGAATGAAAATTACTTTCTAAAGCACCAGCATATCTTCCAAGTGAAGTCAATATACTATTCGATCAAAAGCATTTAAACCCCTATTTTTCAACATATTAAAGGTACTATGTCCCATTTGCAGGCCCAAAAAATGAAAAGGTTAACTTCTAACAGCAATTGAAAGATGATACTAATTTAGAACTCCCCTTTAAAAAGCGGGGCTTGAAAATGTCTTTAAGTTGGAAATAACGAATATTAGTTGTCAAATCGACTTAGGAGCTATAGAGTCAATAAGTAATAGTCTTGATTTTCAGACCATTGTACCGCATAGTTGTACGTTTTAGGCTGCGCAAAGATTCAATCAGTTTAATTTTGGCCATTACAAGAAGTGAGTTATTGATGTAGACAAATGCTCATGTACCTTTTACAACTCTTTTCATGTATGTTATTACCAAAGAAGAAAAAAGGCCAGTCAGTCACGCAATAGTGTCTGACAGTGAAGTCTAGCAAGTAAACGGGTTTCCTTGCATAATTTGAATATTCAGACACTGCTAACGTTTAAATTTCACAGATAGGACATACATGACATATTCATAATTCCTGCAAAGTTCTACAGCATTTGAGGTTGGCTGCAAAAGGGACATAGTATCTTTAACATGACATGCTTTTTATCTGCATACAAGTGAGGTGTTGGAGAAACACAACACTTCTGTAAATATGTTTATAATGAAAGAATATTTCAATTATACATTATAGTAGATGTAACCCTCTTCATTATTGAAGTTATTTTTTTCCAATGTTATCTTTTTGTCTGAGAGATAATGTTCAATTAGGTAAAATCAGTATATATCCTAATTATTTCAACACCAAAAGTCACTTTTGGTATAACTGCATAATTCTTAAAACTTTGTGTAAGAAAAAAATCAAGACTTAATTATGATTCTTCTCATAAAGCAACATACATTTTCTGTTTTTCTTCTTTAAAGAAACTAGTTCACAATTTACATGCAAATAAAAGAGCTTAAACCTTTGCATGAATTCTTCAAGAGAAGCAGCAAGGACTTTCAGGCCAAATTGTATCTGTTATGCTTAGAATTGAATTTTTTTTTCCTTTTAAATGATATATTTGGTAAACAAAAAGGCAAAAATGGCCATAAATATTTTAAAAAATATCTTTATAATGGAGATTTTTTTCCCTATAGGATTCTTGTGTAACACACTGTCTGAAAATATCAAATTGGTTGGAAACATATACCGGTACTCTTCTTTTGTCCCTTTTAAATGATATATTTGGTAAACAAAAAGGCAAAAATGGTCATAAATATTAAAAAAATATCTTTATAATGGAGACTTTTTTCCCTATAGGATTCTTGTGTAACACACTGTCTGAAAATATCAAATTGGTTGGAAACATATACTGGCACATACTTTTCTCTGAACCAAATATTTTGTTTCAAAGTGTCATTATTTGTACTCATGACTCATGGTTGTACATGTATATGACATGTGTAGGGTGGGCACTGTCACAAAGTGAGCCTGGAATATTGAATTTCTGGATTCAAGTTTCCAGGAGAAAATTCTAATTGAGATATGACGTGATATACAACAATGATATTTTTGTTCTATGTTCTACTGCTGTGTATTGTCTAGAGAGCTTGTGAAACAATGCTTGGCCCTTCATTAAACAAATAATGGATTTGAATGGATCAGCGCAAGCCAGATTATTTGAAGAAAACAATGTGTACTGTCCTTCACTTATCTGTCATCACAAAACAATTCACAACAATTAATAAACTCTGTTCAAAACATAGTTCACATTAAACTCCTTTATACATGACTTTGAACAATTATTTATCTACATGAATTTTCATGTTTGTCATGAAAAATATGATATTCATTCCAAAGTAAAATAAATGAGAAAGATATAATTTGACTTTAAACAATTATTCATCTACATGATTTTTCATGTTTGTCATGAAAAATATGATATTCATTCCAAATTAGAATAAATGAGAAAGATAAAATTGCATGAAATAATAATATTGTAATATCTAAAAACGAAATACCCTTTGGTAACTGTTGATGACAAAATGCAAAGCTCAAATTGTGTATGAAGCACACACAAAAAATCACAAATGACTAACGAGAGTTAGGAAAGAACATCTGATAAATATCCCCACCTAATGAACCTAATGAAAAACGCTGTAATAGAGGATACAGTTGTTTTTCTATATTCACTAAGACGTTAGCAGATTTGTTTGTTGCAACAAGGAAAAATATTAAGATGATAATAATGCATGCTAAATTGCCAAAATCAAGCAAAGGGTATTCACCAATTTAGTTGGATATAATTTCATCTAATGGCCCATGGAGATAATTAATCACTTTCTAATATCACTACCCTAACAAAAGATTAAAACAAATATGGCTACAATTTTATACCTACACAACTGATGATGATGTACAGTATGTAGTATGTCAGTGAAAGTATGGCTAAAAACAGTCTTGAGAGTAAGATTTAGTCCGTGAAGTGAACTTTTAATAGCAGCAGATAAGGTGGACAGAGACACGTAGGCCTATATGTGAGGAGGTGAAGATATAAGTATCTTTTAGTATTCCCCAAGAAGAACAAGAATAGGCGATGTCCTTGTCGCTCAAATATTAAACACAAATCTGTAATCCATGATATAAAAGTAAGGTACCGTAGAAAGTATATTACCGGTAAACAAAAAACAGGTATCAAGAAGGCATCTTCATCAATAATATACTTCAGCTTTTACCTTTAAAAGAAATCACAAATACACTGAAATCACAAAATGGGGCATCTCCATGAGAGTATAAGATTGTCCAACCATCCAGTGCTTGTCAAATTAACAAATGCCACACGGCAAGTAAATAAAATCCAAATTCCAGTCAGCAGCGGCGTAGTGAGTCGTCGTCGCCACAAACCCCGGCGCTAAACAATGCAGTTACAGATCCAAGTTAGGATTTTGGAACAATGCATGGCACTCCGTCGCGGGCACTTAAGGAAAAGCGTGAGCGATCGTTCCAATGCGTTAACGTCGAGTCGGTGAGCACGTGAGAGAGAGCGAGAGAGAGGTACGAGTAGAATGATAGAGAGAGAGAGAGGATCTAATTAAGAGAGTGTGAGTTGGCTCCCTGCCACTAGCTAGGCCTATGTCGGATGAGAATGACAAGACCTGCGAGTATTTGTATTTAACGCTCCTTCCTTTACACTGACGGCTCGGCTTGAGCAACGTGCGGAGGGAGGAAGAGCCGGGTGAGGGGCGGATCAATCGCCCCTGCACCACTACGCACCTGTTCTACAGGGGGGTAAATGAGGTTTGGGGGCGGGGCTAATAGAACCATGGGGGTAGTAGGGGAGTGGGTGAAAGGGAGGAAGGGGAAGGGGGCATAGGGGGTCATCTCATTGAGATTCAAAGCAAGAATAGCTGGAAACTGACTAATTGTTTAATCTTTTGTTTTGATGGTCTTCTGCTCTTAGGAGAAAACAAAAGCATTCTCTTACGGTTTCGTGATCTCTAAAACTAGGACAAATGGAAATGGATAAAATTGTGATTTCCCCCACAATATTGAGCAGATCAATCACAGATATTTCTCAAGTCATAAA